GGTCGAGCCTGTCGAGGTCACTGGTGACTCTGGTGCGGCTGCAGGAGCTAAGCCTGGGGGTGCTGAGACTGGAGGTGCTACGCCTGTGGGAGCTGAGCCTGGGGGTGCGGAGTCTGGAGGTGCTGAGCCTGGGGGTGCTGTGCCTGGGGGTGCTGAGCCTGGGGGTGCTGAGCCTGGGGGTGCTGAGCCTGGGGGTGCTGTGCCTGGAGGTGCTGAGCCTGTGGGTACTGTGCGTGGGGGTGCTGAGCCTGGGGGTGCTGAGCCTGGGGGTACTGAGACTGGGGGTGCTCCGCCTGGAGGTGCTTCGTCTCGCCGTGAGCCACTCTCCCCTCAGGAGCTACGTGAGTGGTTTGCCAGACGCTGGAGGCGTGCTGCTGGTGCTGGAGGTTCTTCGGCTGCAGAGGGTACTACTGTTGAGCGTCCCGGTGGTGCTCGTACTGTGGGTACTGGAGCTGCTGGGTCTGAGGGTTCTCCTGGAGCTGGTGCTGCTGAGGGTGTTGACGCTGAGACTGCCGCTGGAGGTCCGACTGGCGGTGCTCCTGCTGGTGCTGCTGGAGGTTCGGGAGCTACTGGAGGTGCTGCTGGAGCGGGTACTCCTGCTAGGGGTACTGGTGCTGTCCCTGCTGTTTTCTGGCGTCGCCGCGCGGCCCCGGCCGTACTTCGTTCCGCTCCTGCAGCAGGTTCTTGGTCTTCCACCTTCTCCTGGTCCTCCTCCTCCTCCCTTAGAGGGTCCGCAGCCTTTCTCGTCACAGTCACAGCTACAGCATGCCTCCCCTTTGCCTGCTCCTTCTCCCTACGCTGGTCCGACTGGAGGTCTTACTGAGCGTCGTGAGCCTGCGTCTCGTCCTGCGTCGCCTGAAACACGTGGTTACAGTCCAGCATATACATATTTTATGTACCAATCTCTGAATGTGATAATCTAATTAACATTGTTACACTCATATCATTTATACTTCACGGGCTAAATTATCTTCGCAAGTTTCGCATACATGTAACTCACCGTTCATAGCACACTCAATAAGTACATTGAAATAAATAATGGCCACTATTAAAGAACCAGCATCAAATTGAAATCCATTCCCGATCTACATGCCACTTGTACATGTGCCTGAATGTCTCATTAACAGGTCACCCATACGATGTCTTCGTCCCACATTGTCGAAGCCCCAAAACCTCGGAACCTCCAATCAAACGATTGGTTCTCTAGCGTCTGGGGCAATTCCCAACCTCAGCCAAGCCGGAGGCTCGCCTCCCGTGTCTCAGTGATTGGTTGGTGTCAACCAACATTCCGATGAAATACCTGGCAACACGCAAATGAGCCGCCCGAAAACTGGGATGTCGAAACCTACTGGCCAACTGGACAGGTTTGCGAGGCGTCAACGATTGGTTTTACCCCTCCAGTTGTCAACGACTGGCTTTCGGTTGGAAAACCAGAAACCCAAGTTTCGCGATGCCGCATCACTGCAGCTGCTTGCGAGTCGCAGCGGCTGTCGCGCTCGTCGTGCTCCTCACCGTTCCGCTCAACATGGACCACTTCAGGGTGAGATTTCATTGGTGCTAAAAAAAATTGCAGGCTGCAGCCGTTTTCTGCAGCTATTTGTACCATACAGTGTGCTTTTTCGCGCGCTTCATGCTCCTCACCGTTCCGCTCAACATGGACCCACTTCAGGGTGAGAGATTCTCACCTGCCAGTGAGTGCACGAAGCGCGTTCAACCGTCGTCGTTTCCGCGGCTCACCGCCGTGGATGCCGCTTTTGTTTGCTCGTCGTCCTTACGGCCTCACTTATCCGATGAGTCTTAATGCACTTTTGGTTGAAGTGTAACCCTTTCCGGTGAGGATGGAGGATGAAGCACTTTGGATGGCAATTCCGATTACGGAAAGCACTTTCGGGTGAAACTGAAGCGTTTTTGGGTGAAGCAACTTATGAAGCTCATGATAAGTGTATTTCATTCCTCTTCTTTCCCCCCGCCAGCAGACAACATCGCCAGATTCCCTGGGTCTTCTCTCCTCACCAACAGCTAGAGCTGCTTATGAGGCTTCTGAAACGTTGTGTATTTTCCTCTCTCCTCTCCACCCTGACCTCGTCAACCAGACATCATCACCAGAGTCTCTGAGTGTTCTCTCCTCATCCACACTTTATTTTTTTTTGTTTTTTTCAATAATATTTCAGAATATAACATTTTCCTCTCTACTACCCTCCTCCCTCTCCCCTCGTCCACCAGACATCATCACCAGAGTCTCTGGGTGTTCTCTCCTCACCAGCAGCTAGAGCTGCTCTCATCGCGTCTCTCACATCCGCCTCCTCCGCTTCTTCCTCCACCTCCACCTCCTCATCGCCCTCATCCTTCTCCTCTCTCTTCTCCACTTCACTCCAATCTCACCCCTCCGCTTCCGCCTCCAAATCTCCCTAATTCCCCTCGTGGTCCACGCTTCGCAAGCATGCGAGTCAGCTGCTGTCTCTGGATGATTCCACGCAACAACTGGTGAGTAATGAGCCATCGCTGCTGCTGGAAAAAATTTCGTTCCACCTCTCATCATCTCCCCAATCCCTCTCGTGGTGCTCCTCTCTATAAGCATGCGAGTCAGTTGCTGTCTCTGGATGATTCCACACAACAACTGGTGAGTAAAGAGCCACCGCTGCTCCATTGTAATGAGTCGCATTTTGAGTCGACTCAAAACTCGATTGGTGAGTAAAGAGCCACCACTGCTCCATTGTGTATTCTATGTTTCCTTCCACTTCGCATCATTCCCCCATCCCTCTCGTGGGCCTCGCTTTCCAACCGCGCCATGTAGCTGCTCTCTCGGGCTGGTTCCAGTCAACGAGTGGAGGAGAGTAGGGAGCTGGTGCTGCTGCAATAACCAAGTTACCGCCGCTGCATTGTGCCGTACGTTACTTCTTCATCTCCCTCATAGCCCTCCTGCTCCTTCACTGCAGTGCAGTCTGCCTCACATTGTGCTACTCTCTTTGCTCCCTCCCTCCCTCCCTCCCTCCCTCCCTCCCTCTTCCCGCACTCAGCAGCAACAAGCCTCCGAGCCATCTACAATCCAAGCGCCCACCCCCTACACCGGCTGCACTGCTGTCTGCCTCACTGGTTCGGCGCGTGACTTTGAGCTCACCGGGCCTAGCATCGTGGCTCGGCTGCTGCCGAGCCTGCGTCCGCACCGCCCTGTCCTGTTCCTCGTAGCTCCCCTGGACGAGCACAGCCACAAGCTGTGGGCGCTGCAATGGGGGCTGGGCATGGGGAGAGATGGGGGGTCTGGGGGATTTGGGGGACAGGGCGGATCAGGAGAACAGGGAGAGGGACTAGCGGGAGGGTTAGGGCGGAACCTAAAAGAGCGGGTCGATGTGGAGAGCGCATGGGAAGGGGGGGTGGAGTTGGGTGCGGTGCAGATGGGTGGGAGCGTGTGGGTGGACGTTGATGAGGTGGTGGGAGACAGCAAGCTCTACGACAACGCAACAGCTCGGAGCATGCAGGTGCAGTTATTCTAATGTCTAGCCGCTGTTGCGAGCTTTCATGGTCCTCTTTTGAGACGTCCCAAAAGTCAGGTTCGTCCATTTTCTCAACTATAGTCGCTGTTGTGAAATTTTATGGTCCCCGCCACCCCTCCACCTCCTCATCCACCTCCTCTCATCCACCCCCTCCCTCCCTTTGTTCTCCCTCTCCCCTGCTCCTCTCGTGCAGCCTCATCTGCAGTGCTTACAGCTTCTCTCGTCCTGTCTCTCTTTAATCGACAACCACCAGCGCCACCACCCCTCCTTGCCCCCTTCCACCACCTCATCCACTCCCTCCCTTCTTTCCCCCCTTCCCGTGCTCCCCTTGTGCAGCCTCAACTGCAGTACTTACAGCTTCTCTCGTCCTGCCTCTCCGTAATCGACAACTATCAACACCACCATCCCTCCTCGCCACCCTTCCACCGTCTCATCCACTCCCGCCTCGACTCCTACTGGTCCGCCCCACCCTCTTTCTCCTCCGCCTTCTCCTCTCCAGTCCCTAACACCACCGCATCTTCCTTCGATGCTCCTGGTGCTGCTGGTAGCGCTGGTGATGCCACTGCCGCAAGAGGTGGGGCAGCAGAAAGGAGGGGTTCTGCAGAACTAGCAAAGGGAGGAAAGAGGAAAAATCAACAGCAGAGACAGATACAGGGGAGCAGGAGCAGGAGGAAGAGGAGGAGTGGGTGGTGCCATTTGGTTCGGACTACAGTGGGATCAACGACGCCTTTGGAATGGGCTCTCTGGAAGCTGCCCGGAAGGTTCTGTCCCGCCTCTCCTCGCTTCAAGAGCTCGTGAAGGCAGGCCTCAGGTGTGTGTGGGTGGGTGGGTGGGTGGGTGGGTGAGTGGGTGAGTGGGTGGGTGGGTGGGTGGGTGAGTGGGTGGGTGGGTGGGTGGGTGGGTGGGTGGGTGGGTGGGAGGGAGTGCGGATGTCTGACACATGAGGGATGAGTTGATTTTTGAGTCGACCCAAAAATCGACTTATCACACAAAGCAGGCCTCAGGTGCGGGTGGGAGTGCGGATGTCTAACACATGAGGGGTGAACACAATGTCTCAGGCTGTTGGGGGTTCGCAATGTGAACCTCGAAAAGGTGCGAGAGGGTTCCCTTACCTTTCCATTCCCCCTCACACTCAAAAGCCCACTCAAGCCTCAAATAGAGCCCATGCCGTCCTTCTCTCCACACACAAAAAGCCCCCTTTCTCCTTCATTCTCCCCCTTTTCTTTCCTTCTCTCGCCTTCTCGCCCTTTCTCCTTCCTCCCCACCCCCTTCTCCCCTTTCTCGCCTGCTCCCTTCATTCCACCCCCACAGCAACCTCTCCCCAAAGGCAACCCTCCAGGCCTGTATAGAATCCACAGGCATCCACGTGGCACGAGCTGATTGGCCGCTGTGCACCGTGAGCCACCAGACGTTCAAGCACGGGCGGCAAGGGGAGGTGCTGGTGGCCTCGTTACAGTCACGCGCGAACCTGAACGGAGCGAAATGCTGGCCTTGCACGCCCAAATACACTGGCCTAGAGGTGAGTTTATCGCTACTGACTAAACCACATATAGCTGGTGGCCTCATTACAGTCACGCGCGAACCTGAATGGAGCGAAATGCTGGCCCTGCACGCCCAAATACACCGGCCTAGAGGTAAGTCTATCATTACCGAACCACACATAGCTGGTGGCTTCGTTACAGTCACGAGCGAACCTGAATGGCGCCAAGTGTTGGCCCTGCACACCCAAATACACTGGCCTGGAGAATACAATGACTAGTATTGCAGGTCAAATGTCTGTCTGGTGGCCTCATTACAGTCACATGCGAATCTGAATAGGGCAAGATTTTGTCCCTCACGCCCAAATACAGTGGTGGGTGGTGATTGAGGCGCTTGAACTAATCTTCACTTTCCGTCCCTCCCCTTCTTTCCTCACAGGCCCTCTCCCACATGGCCTTTGTGCCTGCTTCCAACCGGATCCGCTCCCCTTCAGCCAGACCACTCAACACCAGCACTGAGAGCATCTACCTGTGTGATACCTCCCACCCCTGGGAGATCATTTTTAAGTCAACTTTTGAGTTGACTTTTGAGTCGACTCAAAAGTCACCTCGCTCCCCTTCAGCCAGCCCACTCAACACTAGCACTGAGAGCACCTGCCTGTGTGATACCTCCCACCCCTGGGAGATCGCGTGGAGTCACAAACTACGACGTTGCAGCTGTGCTCATTCATCCTTCCCTTCCCCACTTGCAGGCGCTTTCACATATTGCTTGGGCGCCTGCTTCCAACAGGATCCGCTCCCCCTCAGTTGATCCTGTCAACTCGGGTAGCAATAGCATACAGCTCTGCCACACCTCCCACCCCTGGGAGCTCGCCTGGACTCACAATCACCCTTGCTCCTCTCTCTGCCTTGACACTACTCATTTCATTCCCAATCCCCTCATGCAGGCCCTCTCCCACATGGCCTTCGTGCCTGTCTCCAACCAGATCCGCTCCCCCTAAGCCAGCCCACTCAGCACCGGCACCGAGAGCATCGAGCATTGACACTGACTCACATCCACCATGCTTGCTGCTCCCTCCCCTCCGCCAAACAGGCCCTCTCCCACATGGCCTTCGTTCCTGTCTCCAACCAGATCCGCTCCCCCTCAGCTGATCCTGTCAACGCTGGCAGCAATAGCATACAGCTCTGCGATGCCTCCCACCCCTGGGAGCTTGCCTGGACCGATAACTACGATGCTGCTGCTGGCTCGCGATTGGCTGGGATGAGAAGGGCTATCTCGTCCACCAATCTGAAGCAATACGTGCAGCTGATGGCACAGGTGAGGGATTCTTAATCGACTAAACAAGGGCGATTGGGGAAGCGAGGTTGGTGTGGGGTGATTTTGGTATGTGGTGAATTGACTGGGTGGGTCAACTGTATGTGGGACTGTCTTCTGGCATAATTCTCAGCGAGCAGCACATCAGGTATGGGCTAAAAGGAATAGAAAAACAGGGTGTGTTGATTGTGGTAGAGTCTCTTCTATCGCCTGTGGTAGATGGACAGGGTGGGTTGATTGTGTGTGAGGTTGATCTTCAGAATTCTCAAAATCTGACTCAAATGTATTTCACAGGTCTCTTGGTTCCAACTTCCCTCTCTTCTTTCCCTCCTCTCACCCTCTGCCACTCCATTCTCCCCTCTACCTGCTCCCTTCTCCCTTCTCCATTCGCCCTCGCTTTCTCTCCACGCCCCCGCTCCTTTCTCCCCTCATCCTCTTGCCCCTTCCAACCCCCCGCTGTCAGCTCCAGCGTCAATCCGCCAACTGGAGCGCCCCCCCCCCTGCTGCTATCTGTGTGCGATCGCTCCTCGGCAAGATATCCATTGTTTGCTCTTCGTGGGTTAGGCTTTCAAGCCTCTCATCCCCTTTCCCTTCTACCTTCCCACTCCCTCCCTCCCCAAACCAGCTCCAGCACCAGACACTCAACTGGAGCGCCCCTCCCCCTTCCGCCATCTGTGTGTGATCACTACTTGGCACGCCAAGGTTGCGCTTCCCAACCTCCTCCCCTTCCTCCTTCCTTTTTCTTCCTTCTCCTCCCTCCCCTCCCTTCTTCCATCCTTCAGCTTCAGCACCAGACACTTAATTGGAGCGCCCCTCCCACTTCCGCCATCTCTGTGCGATCACTCCTTCGGAAAATCTCCCTTGTTGGCTCCTATAGCATGTCCTTCCCCACATCTACCTCCCTTTCCCTTCTCCTCCCTACCCAAACCAGCTTCAGCAGCAAACTAGCAACTGGAGCGCCCCTCCCTCTGCGGCCATCTGTGTGCGATCGCTCTCGGGAAAAATCTCCCATATTAGCTCATCTGCTTCCCTGCTCCCTTCCCATCCTTCACCCCTTTTCTCCCCTTACCAGCTGCAGCAGCAGACAGCCAACTGGAGCGCCCCTCCCTCTGCGGCCATCTGTGTGCGATCGCTCTTGGGAAAAATCTCCTACGTTGGCTCCTACGGAATGTCCTTTCCCACGGCCCTCGCTGTTATCACTCCTAACAGGTAATTTTGACCACCCTTTTGATGAAGCCACCTTTTTGTATAACCCTTTTGAACTCGGCAAGGTATCACCATTGTATGGCTCCCGCCAACCTCGCTGTTCTTACTCTCCCAGTAGTTTCGTGTAGCCCTATCCAAGGTCTCTTAATCCATTTCTAATGCTCGCTGACTTGCTGGCTGCATGTACATTATTCAGCTTGATTTTTCAGCTAGAACTTTCATTCAACTCGAGTTTTCCCCACAATTCCCCACCCCATCTCTCCACTCCGCACCCCTCTATCCATATCTCTGCAGCGTGATCCTTTCCACCTCCCCCATGACCCAACCCCCCTTCGTGCGGGGTGGTGGTGGGAGTCGACTCAAAAGTATTCCTCATTTCTGCATATCCCTCATCCCATCTTTCTACCCCACACACCCTCTGTCCATATCTCTCCAGCGTGGTCCTTTCCACCTCCCCCAGGACACCCCTCCCCTGGACTGCGGGGTGGTGGGAGTCGCACCTCCCCTCACTCCTCCCAGGCCTCTCAGTGCATCCCCATCCCTCCTCACCCCCCTGTCCATACCTCTACAGCGTGGTGTATTCCACCTCCCCCAGGACGCCCCTCCCCTGGACTGCGGGGTGGTGGGAGTCACACCTCCCCTCGCTCCTGCCAGGCCTCTCGGTGCATGCGCTGCCGTCAACCCCCCTCGACTCCACCACTGCCACTCCTGCTCACGTCATCAAGGTGAGTTGTGAGTCAACTCATACAACCCACGTGTGGGTGGTTTATCTCATGTACCCAGTCCAGTTACCCATGCCCCTCATGTGCAACAGTGCAAGTCATCCTCTTCAATATTCCCAAATGGTTTTCTAAAAACTCGTGCACCCAATCCCCCCCCTCGTCCCGCTCTTTCTTCCCTCCTTTTGCAACCGTTTTCTCCACCCGACCTTGCCTTTTTAAAATGAATCAGTTTGCATTGGACGGCTCTGACCTCCCAGCACTCTCCAAGCAACTAAAGGACAAATCTCTGCCACCCGCATGCCAGTTACTCGTGGCATTTCCCAAGCCGCTCACCCAGAAATGGCGTGCAAAGATTATTGGGCAGCTTGAGAGTAAAAATATTTTCTTGGCAGCGTGTTTGAGAGAGCCTGGGATAGATGTACCGTATGGCCCCGGATAAAAGCGCATATGCGCTTATAATAAGTTATTTTTTTTCAAGGGTGGCGCTTGTAATTGAGGAACGGCCATAAGCGCCGGCGCTGATATAATGACTGTCAGAGTATTATAGCTGATGCATGTTTGTAGGCTATAGTGGGGTAGCACATATGGGGTACAGCTTTCTAGGGTTGTATTTGTAACCAACTCTGACTTAGTCATTTTCATTCCTGTTCACTTGTTTCACATGGTATAGAGCGGGTCCTTCCTTAGGACCGTTTTTTTAGGGCCCACCGAAGCGCGCCCCGAGGCGCGCCTTTTTTTAGCGACCCCTCGGGTCGCCATTTCCCTCGCGGCCCCGCTGTCCCTCAGACGCGGCCCCGCCACCCCTCCTAATCGCGGCCCCGCCGCCTGCTTGGCGCGGCCCCGCCGCCGGCTCTGACGCGGCCCTGCCGCCCGCTTCGTCGCGGCCCCGCCGCCTGCTTGACGCGGCCCCGCCGCCTCCACTGACGCGGCCCCGCCGCCGGCTCTGACGCGGCCCTGCCGCCCGCTTCGTCGCGGCCCCGCCGCCTGCTTGACGCGGCCCCGCCGCCTCCACTGACGCGGCCCCACCGCCGGCTCCGCCGCTGCACCCTACGGCCCGCCGCTGCACCCTACGGCCCGCCGCCTCACCTGACGGCCCCGCCGCTGCACCTGCCGGCCCGCCGCTGCACCTGCCGGCCCGCCACTGCACCCAGCGGCCCGCCGCTTCACCTGACGGCCCCGCCGCTGCACCTGCCGGCCCGCCGCTGCACCCTACGGCCCGCCGCTGCACCCTACGGCCCGCCGCCCCACCTCGTCGGCCCGCCGCTGCACCCTACGGCCCCGCCGCTGCACCTGCCGGCCCGCCGCTGCACCGGTCGACCCGCCGCTGCACCTGACGGCCCCGCCCCTGCTTCTCCCGGCCGAGCCGCCCCAGCAGCAGAGCCGCCCCAGCAGCCGAACCGCCCGGGAGCCGAGCCGCCCAACGCCGAGCCGCCCGGGACCCGAGCCGCCCTGCCGCCGAGCCGCCCGGGAGCCGAGCCGCCCTGCACCCGAGCCGCCCTGCCGCCGAGCCGCCCGGGAGCCGAGCCGCCCTGCGCCCGAGCCGCCCAGCCGCCGAGCAGCCCGGGAGCCGAGCCGCTGTGCACCCGAGCCGCCCGGTCGCTGAGCCGCCTTTCTGCAGAGCTGCACGACCTGCCCTGCCTGGTGAGCACAGTCCCACTGACACTGCGAGCTCTTTCCCTACTGCTTGCACTGCGTCGCTGTCGTCGCCATGGCTACCCCTAGTGTCCTAGCTTTTGACGCTGAGGGTCGCGCCATTGATTTTGAGGTCTGGTTAGACGACCTGCAGCTGTTCTTACAGTGCGACAGGGCTGACGACCTTTCTCTCTTTGACCTCACCTCTGGCGCCTCTCCTGCTCCTGCTGCTGATGCTGATCCCACTGTCCGCTCTCAGTGGGCCACCCGCGATGCTGCTGCACGTCTTGCTGTGCGTCGCCACCTCCCTACCTCTGAGCGTGCGCACTTTAGTCAGTACAAGAGTGCTCAGACCTTGTACGACGCTGTAGTTGCGCGCTACTCCTCCCCTGCCACTGCTGCACTGAGCCGTCTCATGCTTCCCTACCTCTTTCCTGACCTCTCTGCCTTTCCCACTGTTGCTGACCTCATTACGCACCTCCGCACTAGTGACACTCGCTACCGCGCCGCCCTTCCTGCTGAGTTCTGCGCTAAGAACCCACCCCCCATGTACATCGCTCTCTACTACGTAGTCGCGCGCCTCCCTGACTCCCTTCGCGTCGTCAGGGACCACTTTCTCGCAGTCTGTCCCACCACCCTCACCGTCGACCTCCTCGAGAAGGCCCTCCTCGCAGCGGAGAAGAGCATAGTCGCTGTAGGTGCTTCTCGTGGTGACCCTCGCACCCCCATCTTTGAGGGGTGCTCTCCTTCCCCCTTGCTGCCCTCTGTTGCCTCTGCTGCTGCTGCCGACCTGCTTGGTCTTGAGTCGGTCGGCGCGGCGTCTACCCCTAGTGGGAGACGTCGCTCCAGCAAGGGCAAGGGGGGCAAGGGCGCGGGTGGAGCTGGAGGGGGCGGTGGCGGTGGCGGCGGTGGCGGCGGAGGGAGTGGGGGTGGCGGCGGGACTAGTGGCGGGGGTGGTGGTGGTGGTGGCAGCAGCGGCGGAGACGGTGGTGGTGGTGCCAGCGGTGGTGGTGGAGGCAACGGCGGAGGTGGAGGCGGCGGAGGTGGAGGCGGTGGAGGCGGCAGCGGAGGAGGCGGTGGTGGTGGAGGAGGTGGAGCTGGTCGAGGTGGTACCCAGCAGCGTAGCGGCGGTGGTGGTGGCCAGCGCTCGCAGCGGCAGCAGCAGCAGCGCTCGCGGGACATCCCTCCGCCTCAGCAGCTTCGTGAGTGGTACGCTGGGCGTCAGAGGGGTGGGGGTACTGGTCCCTGCACCTACGTTCTTCGTTCCGGCGACCGCGCGGGTGAGCAGTGTGGGGGTGCCCACGCCACCCAGCGCTGCTTTGGCCGCCTGACGGACGCTTGGCGTCAGCAGTTCCCTGGGGCTAGTGAGATCCCTCGCTGGGATGAGCTTCTAAGGGCTGGTGTAGCGATCTTTGATCTTGATTTTGATGACATCCTTGCTGCTATGTATGCTGTGGATTTTAGTGAGGAGAATGAGGGTTACCGGTGTTTCCAGCCCGACCCGGGCATTGGTACTGCTGCGCTAGGTGCTTGTGAGGCTGCTGCTCTAGGTGCCAGTGCGTCTGTGCTCTCAGGTACTGGTGAGACTGCGCTCTCAGGTACTGCGTCGTCCTCGTCCTCCCTCACTTTCACACTTGACTCCGGGGCTTCTCGCTCCTTCTTTCGAGACCGCACTACCCTTACGCCGCTCGGCCGGCCGGTTGCGGTCTCCCTTGCTGACCCCTCTGGGGGTCCTGTCCTGTCTCACTTCTCCACTGTCCTCCCGTGTCTGGCTGCCCCTTCGGGCACCCTGTCTGGTCTGTACCTTCCCTCGTTCTCTACGAACTTGGTGAGTGGAGCGGACCTGCAGGATGTGGGGGTTCACCAGTTCACTCCTGCGAGTCAGCGGGTGACCCACTGCACGGAGGCACGCACAGGCCGACACCTGGCCACGTTCTCGCGTCGGCCGGGGTCGAGTCTCTACACCCTGACCGTTGAGTCTCCTCCTGTCCCTGCGTCTGGTCAGGTGGCTGCGTCGGGTCAGGTGCTTGCTGCTGCGTCCCGGTCAGGTCCTGAGTCTGCCCCCTGTTCTTGTCGCCTCCTGTCTCACGAGACTCTCCTGTGGCACCACCGTCTTGGCCACCCCTCCTTGCCCCGTCTTCGGAGCATGGCTTCCCGTGTCCTTGTCTCTGGTCTTCCCCAGTCTCTCCCTCCTCTCCCTTCCGGGCCAGGACCTTCCTGTGTCCCCTGTGTCGAGGGTCGCCTCCGGGCTACTCCTCACTCCTCCCACTTCCCCCCGACAGAGGCTCCCTTGCGACGCTTCACATGGATGTGTGGGGCCCAGCCCCCGTCCGTGGGCAGGGTTACGAGCGCTACTTCCTGTTGGTGGTTGACGACTACTCGCGTTACACCACAGTCCTCCCCTTGCGCAGCAAGGGTGCGGTCACTGAGGTGCTGATCGACTGGATCCGCGAGGCTCGTCTCCAGCTCAGGAAGAGCTTCGGCTCGGACTTTCCTGTTCTGCGTCTGCACTCGGACAGAGGCGGAGAGTTCTCTTCTCGCCTTCTGCGGGACTACTGTCGTGCACGGGGGATCCGCCAGACCTTCACGCTTCCGGACTCACCACAGCAAAATGGGATTGCTGAGCGCCGCATTGGCATGGTCATGGATGTCGCTCGTACGTCCATGATGCATGCGGCTGCCCCCCATTTTCTGTGGCCGTTTGCGGTGAGGTACGCGGCGCATCAGCTCAACCTTCACCCCCGGGTCTCTCGGCCTGCGATGTCCCCAGCCTTGCTGTGGACGGGGAAGGTTGGCGATGCGTCTGTGTTCCGTGTCTGGGGATCTCGGGCGTTTGTCCGCGACTTGTCTGCGGACAAGCTGTCCCCTCGTGCTGCTCCCTGTGTCTTCCTTGGCTTCCCCACTGACGCCCCAGGGTGGCAGTTTTACCACCCCTCCTCTCGTCGTGTTCTGTCCTCCCAGGACGTCACGTTCGACGAGTCAGTCCCCTTCTACCGTCTCTTCCCCTACCGCACTCCTTCCCTCCCCCCTCCCCCGGACTTCCTTGTGCCGGTTCCCCCCCCGTTAGACCCCCTCCCCCCTCAGGTTCCTGCCCCCTCAGGTGTGTCCCAGGTAGACGCCGTTGACCCGGTCGAGGTTACTGGTGACTCTGGTGCTGCTGCGGGTGCTGAGCCTGGGGGTGCTGACTCTGGGGGTGCTGTGCGCGGGGGTGCTGAGCCGGGGGGTGCTACTGCTGGGGGTGCTGGGCCTGAGGGTGCTACTGCGGAGGGTGCGGAGCCTGGGGGTGCTGAGCCGGGGGGTGCTGTGCCTGGAGGTGCTGGGTCTGGGGGTGCTGGGTCGGGAGCTGCTGAGCCTGGGGGTGCTGAGCTGGGAGCTGCTGAGCCTGGGGGTGCTGCGTCTGGAGCTGCTGAGCCTGGGGTTTCTCCTGCTGCTGCGTCTCGCCGGGAGCCCCTCTCTCCACAGGAGCTGCGCGAGTGGTTCGCTCGCCGCTGGAGGCGTGCTGCTGAGTCTGGAGGTGCTGCTGGAGCTGGAGCTGGAGCTTCTTCGACCGTCGAGGGTGCGAGTGCTGCCGGTCCCGGAGCTGCTGGACCTGCGGGTCCTCCTGGAGCTGGAGCTGCTGAGGGCGTTGGTGCTGAGCCTACTGCTGTTGGTCCTGCCGCTGGAGGTGTGGGTGGCGCTGGTGCTGTCGCTGAGGGTGGTGGTGCTGTCTCTGCTGAGTCTGGAGCTGCCGCGCGGCCTCGGCCGTACTTCGTTCCGCTCCTGCAGCAGGTTCTTGGTCTTTCTCCTCTAGTAGAGGGTCCACCGCCTGTCCAGTCGCAGTCCATGCTGGAGCCTTCCTCTCCACTGCCTGCTCCCTCTCCTTACACTGGTCCTACTGGAGGTCTTGCTGAGCGTCGTGAGCCTGCGTCTCGTCCCGCGTCGCCTGTTCGTGCTGCTCGCGCTAGTGGTCGCAGTTCGCGTCAGCGTCCTCCTCCTGTCCCTGGCACGCACCGGATGTCTTTGCGTGCGTCCACTGCTCCTCTGCGTGCCCCTTTGCCTTCTCCTCCTGAGTCCTCTCTTCCTGCGCTTGCCGACCCTGAGTCGGACTCTCTTCGTGCTGCCAGTCCTACTGTCACGCGTCTCCTTGCTACTGTCGTCACTGACCCCTCGTTTGAGTCCACTGCTGCGTCTGCCCTTCTCGCTGAGCTCGTCGACTTTGCTGCTCGCTGTCGTCTCGACTACGCTGCTAGTCTTGTTGCTGAGTCTGCGTCTGTGTGTCCTCCGTCCGTCGGGGGTGAGTGTGCTCTTGGCACGGACGTCCTAGAGGACAGGCAGGAGGAGTTACAGTGTCTAGCGGTTGCTTCACCTCATCTCGCGTCTGTACTGCTTGCCCCTGAGGGAGACCCGGATGCACTAGACATCCCGACTCCGCGTTCTTACGCGGAGGCCGTAGAGGGTCCCTACTCCTCTCAGTGGCAGGCAGCTATGGATGCAGAGATGGCTTCCTGGAAGTCCACAGGCACCTACGTTGACGCGGTTCCCCCTCCTGGGGCGAACATCGTCAGTGGCATGTGGATCTTCAGGGTGAAGCGGCCGCCGGGCTCTCCACCTGTCTTCAAGGCACGGTACGTTGCTCGTGGCTTCAGTCAGCGGCAGGGAGTTGACTACTTTCAGACCTTCTCTCCCACCCCGAAGATGACTACTCTTCGGGTGCTGCTGCACATAGCCGCTCAGCGCGACTACGAGCTTCACTCTCTCGACTTCAGCACTGCGTTCTTGCAGGGTAGCCTGCACGAGGAGATCTGGCTTCGCCGTCCACCTGGCTTCACTGGGACTTTCCCTCCTGGCACCCAGTGGAGCCTCCGACGGCCAGTCTACGGTCTCCGCCAGGCACCGCGTGAGTGGCACGACACACTGAGGACTACGCTTGCGGCTCTTGGGTTTGCTCCTTCTACTGCTGACCCGTCGCTGTTTCTTCGCACCGACACTTCCCTGCCGCCGTTCTACATCCTCGTGTACGTCGACGACTTGGTCTTTGCCACAGCGGACACTGCTGGACTCGCCTACGTGAAGTCCGAGCTGCTGAAGAGACACCCGTGCACAGACCTGGGTGAACTGCGCAGCTACCTTGGCTTGCAGATCACTCGGGACAGAGCACGCCGCACCATTACCTTGACTCAGTCACACATGGTGCAGCAGGTCCTTCAGCGCTTCGGCTTCACGTACTCCTCGCCTCAGGCCACTCCTCTGCCTACTCGCCACTCACTCTCAGCTCTGCCTTCGGATGAGTCCGTAGAGTCGAGTGGTCCGTATGCAGAGCTTGTTGGCTGCCTCATGTACCTGATGACCTGCACACGACCTGACCTTGCATACCCTCTGAGCATTCTTGCACGCTATGTTGCTCCTGGGAGACACAGACCGGAGCACATGGCTGCAGCGAAGAGGGTATTGCGCTACCTGTGCAGCACGTCGGGCATGGGGCTAGTGCTTGGAGGGCGGAGTCCAGTGGTCCTTACCGGCCACGCGGAAGCTTCTTGGGCTGACGACCAGGCTACGCAGCGGTCGTCACAGGGTTACACCTTCAGCCTTGGTTCCGGCTCTGTCTCGTGGCGGTCTACTCGCTCGTCTTCAGTTCTCGGCTCCAGTTGTGAGGCTGAGATCTACGCCGGGGCCATGGCTGCACAGGAGCTTCGCTGGCTCACCTACCTGCTGACTGACCTTGGAGAGCCGCCTCGTTCTCCTCCAGTGCTGTACGTAGACAACAAGGCCATGCTGGCCTTGTGTCGAGAGCAGCGCTTGGAGCACAGAACGAAGCACATTGCTCTCCGCTACTTCCTTGCTCGTGAGCTGCAGCAGCGTGGTCAGTTGCGACTTGCGTACGTGGCCTCTGAGGCCAACACTGCTGATGTGTTCACCAAGGCACTCGCGCCTTGTGACCATCAGCGCTTTTGCACCCAGCTGGGTCTTGTACCTGTCTTGCCTCACTTGCTCTCCTCTTGACTTCACTTGTACTGTGACATATATATATACCTGCTCTTGCTTGTCTAGTTTTATATATATGTCTGTACTCTTGCATGTGAACTGGCCTCTGGCCCTGCTCTTGTGCTCGGACTGTGTGGTGACTTTGTGATCCACCCTGAGCTTGCTTTGCTTTGCTTTGCTTGACTGGTCTTGTGACCCCTTGTTCTCCCCCACTTAGCCTATGGGGGTGTGTCAGAGTATTATAGCTGATGCATGTTTGTAGGCTATAGTGGGGTAGCACATATGGGGTACAGCTTTCTAGGGTTGTATTTGTACCCAACTCAGACTTAGTCATTTTCGTTCCTGTTCACTTGTTTCACTATGACAAATACAATTTTTATCTTTAAAGGTACCAAACTGTACCTTTCGTTGTAGCCATCTCAAACGAGTCGACCTATTATAGCGTCATAAAGCAGAATCGCGCGCAAACGATTCTGCTTCCTGTACACGGGCAAATTCGCGTCACTTTGCAGGCATGCCAGCACATCTTGACTGGACGCGCAGACAGTCAGGTCTTCGCGAGTCAAACAAAGCGAAAATGAAATTTGACTCGCTGCAAAACTGAAATTCGTTACCGATTTAAACTGACAATTAAACGAAAACTGCACACGGCGCTTATAATAAGTAATGGTTTTCCAGGGGGGGGCGCTTATAATCGAGGATCGGCCATAAGCGCCATGCTCCAGATAGAAGCGCCGGCGCCTGTAATAGGCCGGCGCCTATATCCGGGGCCATACGGTAGATTGGTGCCTATTCGTTTCGATAAATCATTGCACAACATTATTGCATGTGGAAGTGTAGCAGTTCAATGTAATTGCTTGTATTGAAGTTGTGTTGTATTGTCTAATTTGTTACTGAACGTGCGGTATCCCATGACCACATGAAGATTAGTACACTACCTTATGCTGTAAATTGCAATATATGCCAACTTCAATATGTGTACATGCTGCACTCAATGAGCATTGAGCATCTTTCGTATTTCCCAAACGGTATGCATACAATACCACTATAAAAGGGATTGATTGTCACATTGGCCTTAAATGGATCATATTATAGTTTTCAAGCCTTATTTTTCTACTTCAACGGTTGACTTCCATCGCTTTCCACCTCACTAAGCACAGCACAACATCCTCCATCTGAACCGTAGCGTCCAATAAAAACAATACAGTAGCAGTACCTTACCCAAAACACAGTCCACAATCAATGCGCACAATTATTACCATCGTCATCATCATCATGCCAACGCGGGTTAAGCGGCCGCGTGTCATCCTCATCCTCTTCCTCATCAAACACATCACACTTCTAACCTCCCATGGCACCTTAAGTATGGTACTACCAGCGTGCCCTACAATCAATGCGCGCGGTTACCATCATGCTCATCATCATCATGCCTGCACGGGTTGCGCGGCCGCGTGTCATCATCCTCCTCCTCTTCCTCCTCTCAAACACACCATACTCCTCTTCCTCATCCCCCACTCTATCTAGTACACTCTACAATCAATGCGCGCGGTTACCATCATTGTCGTCGTCATCATCGTCATGCCTGCGCGGGTTGAGTGGCCGCGTATCATCATCATCCTCCTCTTCCTCATCAAACACATCATACTCCTCTTCCTCCTCATCCCCCATATCATCCTCATCCTCATCATCATCTTCCGATTTCAAAGGGCCGGCACGGGCAGGGCCGGCGATGACGAAGCTCTTCATGGTTTCGAGGGAGTAGAGGCGGGGGGTGGGAGCGCCCTGCTCCACCCACGCCTCGTACTTGGACTTCTGCGCTTGCCCGTAGTACAGCACTGCGAACACCACCGTCAGTATCGACATCACCGCTCCCACTGCAAGCCAGGGGAGGGACGGAGGGAGGGAAGGACAGGGGGAGAAGGAGGACAGCACTGAGAATCTAAGAGTCAGTGCTCCAACAGGAGGGGGAGGGAGGGGGGATGAGTTCAGGTGTTGGTGGGTTGGAAGGGGTAGAGGCGGGGGGTGGGAGCTTCCTGCTCCACCCACGCCTCGTACTTGGACTTCTGCGCTTGCTCGTAACCCACTCCTTGGCTTTAGTGTACTCTTGAATCTCCTCTTGAGTGTACTCTAAGCACACACAGACAGCAATCAAGAAACAACACGTACCGATATAGGTGGACGTCTTGAGCTGGTAGCACGTGCGCAGCTGAAAATCATATTGATAATTGGTGACCTCCTTGTGGTAGTTGTTGAGGGATCCGCCCGACATGAGACAGATCTCCGCAAGGAAGAATGCCACCCTGCAGGCGAAGAAGGGGGAGATGGGTGGAAGGGGTTTCGGTGAAGTTACAGGAGGAAAGGATGGGTTAGGGGTGACCTCCTTGTGCTAGTTGTTGAGAGACCCCCCCGACATGAGACAGATCTCCGCTAGGAAGAATGCCACCCTGGAAGGGAAGAGAGAGGGGTGGAGGGGGGTTAGGTCAGGTTACAGGAGGAAAGAGTGAGTTAGGGGCGATCGCCTTGTGGTAGTTGTTGAGGGATCCGCCCGACATTGAGACAGATCTCCGCTAGGAAGAATGCCACCCTGCAGAGAAGGAGAAGAGGGGTGGAAGAGGGTCAGGTGAATGAGTGAGTAGCGGGGGCTGGAAGGGTGCCCGCCTTGTGGTGGTTCTTGAGGGAGTCTTGAGGGAGTCTTGAGGGAGTCTTGAGGGAGTCTTGAGGGAGTCTTGAGGGAGTCTTGAGGGAGTCTTGAGGGAGTCTTGAGGGAGTCTTGAGGGAGTCTTGAGGGAGTCTTGAGGGAGTCTTGTCTTCCTACTTGCCTCGAGACACACCTCCTCCGCGTGTGTTTTGAGTCGACTCAAAACACACCAAGTCTTCCTACTTGCCTCGAGACACATTTTTGCTTAAGAGTTTTTACAGGTTTGCAGCTACTCCACGATGAACATTGGTTCTTGAGGGAGTCTTGTCTTCCTACTTGCCTCGAGACACACCTCCTCCGCTAGGAAGATGGGCACCCTGGATTGAATGGAAGGGAGGGAGGGAAGAGAGAGGTGGGACGGAGTGCGAGAAGGGAGTGGAGCAATGTACAGCATTACTACTTATGCCTGGAGCAATGTCGGGATCGTTCTCTAGGTACAAGCGGAAATCTACTGCTGTTTTTTCCTTTGCTTAAGCCTACTGCACTGCACACACGCAGCTCACTGAGCCATGTCCGAATGTCGGGATCGTTCTCTAGGTACAAGTGCAGCATTACTACTTATGCCTTTTGAGGCGCCTCAGAAACCATGCAAGCGTTGTCTAGCACCCCAACTCGGCAATGATGATGATGCTGACTTTGGGCGCCTGCTAACCACCCCAACTCGGATGCCTGGCATGCTTGCATGCTTGCATGCTTGCTTGCTTGCATGCTTGCTTGCTTGCATGCTTGCTTGCTCTCACTGCTCCCACCATGCAAGGTGAAAGAATCGAGAAGTCTCAAAAACACTGTTCTTTCACGTGGACCCACCCCAACACGGATGCCTGGCATGCATGCATGCATGCTTGCTTGCTTGCTCTCACTGCTCTCACCATGCGAGCGTGTAGCATTGCTTTATCCTCACCATGTAAGGGTGCAGTGTTACTCTTTCTCACCATGCGAGCGTGTAACACACGATGCTGACTTTGAGAGCCTGCCCGTGGGCGTACTGGATAGTCACACAGCACACACAGTCGCCCAGCACGGAGGGAGGGATGGTTGGCTAACAGGCCTTTTTGCTCCCAGTGCTCTCACCATGCAAGAGTGTTCCTACCAGGCAAGGCTGTAGGCTCACCATGCGAGCGTGCAGCAGACAATGCTGTCTTTGAGCGCCTGTCCGTGCGCGTACTGGATGGTCACACAGCACACGCACACAGCCGCCCAGCAGCATGCAGGGGAGGGGATGGCATGGAGACTTGCTTGCTTGCATGCTTTCACCATGGCCAAGTGCTCTCACCATGCGAGCGTGTAGCACACGATGCTGACTTTGAGCGCCTGCCCGTGCGCGTACTGGATGGTCACACAGCACACGCAGCCGCCCAGCACGGAGATGAGCGCCATGCCCGCCGCCAGCAGCATGCCTCCTATGATTCCAAACAGCGTTGCGGTGCTCGACTGGTAACCGCATTCCAGCACTTGGCTCACGTTCGCCTCTGGCGGCACTGTGTACGTCTGCGGAGGGGGTAAGAGGTGCGGGGGGAAAGGGGAGTGGGTGGGTGGGTGTGGGGAAGGCGGATGGGTGTGGAAGCAGAGGGTGGTAACTGCATCGTAGCACTTGGCTCACGTTCGCCTCTGGAAGCACTGTGTACGTCTACATGGGGGCGAGATGGGGGGGGGAGGGGAAGGGAACGGAAGTGCGTTTGGAGTGGCGAGTGTGAAAGCAGAGGGTTTTGACTGGTAACCGCATTCCAGCACTTGGCTCACGTTTGCCTCTGGCGGCACTGTGTACGTCTGCATGGGAGGGGGGGTGGGGAGGTGGGGGGTGGTATGGGGGAGAGGTGGGGGTGTGGTGTGGAGGAAGGCGCGCGGGTGTGGGGAAGCGGAGGTGCGGGTGTGGGGAAGCGGAGGTGCGGGTGTGGGGAAGCGGAGGTGCGGGTGTGGGGAAGCAGCGGTGTGGGTGTGGAGGGAGAAGGATTAAGGCACAAGCAAGGGGTGAAAACGGAGATGAGAGCCATCCCCGCCGCCAGAAGCATCCCTGAAAGGATCCCGAACCTGGTAACCATATGGTTACTGGCAATGGCTGCATTGGCGAGAGGTAAGGGGTAAGGTATAAGTTACCATTACCAAGAACTTGGAATTGACGTGTGACGCTCTCAAGAGCTTCTAATCTGCATCGGAAACTCAATAACGAGAGCGGCGTGAACCAGAAGGCACTAGGGATGAACATGAATGAAGCGTAATGTGTGGACTCGCACCGACAAAAGCGAGACGCCATTTTGACCTAATGCAAATGCAACGTTATTTCGGCTTCTAGGAAGTTTCCAAGAAAAGAAATAACCCACTAGGACTGAACGTGAAACGAAATGTGCGTCGCAAATAAAAAGGAAGAAAATTTATTCGCAGACCACGAGAATAACCCACGAGACTACTGTGACCTAATGCAAGGACCAATTGGCGTCCCAAATGCTTTCGATGCAAACAGAAAGCCATCGGTTCTAAACGCGAAGCGAAACGTGCGTCGCACTGACAAAGCGGAAGGCTACTTTGACCTAATGCCGACGGAACGGCATTATGTAAGTGAAACGCGCGCGCCTCGTGCGAGCGGCTTTCAGAGAAAGAAATGTCAGTTTTTTCCGCGCCGATAAGCGACAACATTACGGTGACGGGATGTCGCCTAAAAGCGTAGAGCGGAGATCCATAGCGAGGATACCGAGGCCGCATTTGCGAGCTGCTACGATAATGAGCGGTTGACAACGGGAGGGCTAGTAGGGTAACGACGTCGATGTTATTCAACGGACGGCTTCGACTATCGTGCTGCGTGTCTTTCACAGAAGAAGGGAGCAACATTGCGAGGAGGCCGAGGCCGCATTTACGAGCTGCCACGATAATGAGCGGTAACGAACGGTTACCGACGGTTACCGATGGTCATCAACGGGTGGCGTGCTGCGTGATACTCACAGAAGAGGGGAGGAGCATAGCGACGAGGCCCAGGCCGCAAGTAGGAGATGCTACGATAATGAGCGGTAATGAACGGTTAACGACGGCCCGCTGCGTGTGACTCACAGAAGAGGGGAGCAGCATAGCGAGGAGGCCGAGCGTGCATGCGCCAGCGCCGAGCGCTAGCGTCGCAAGCACGACGAATATCGACGCCTGTGGCCCGACCTGGATCTCATCGGGATCTATCGACATCGCGCCGCGACTTAGTTATCGTCACCACGCAAAATGGCGTACGACCCTATAAATAGCGAAGTCGTTTTGAGGTGAGACACGCTAGGTAATCATAGACGCTAGGTTCTATTAGTCTAGAGCCCCAGCGCTAGAAACGGAGACTGTGAGTGGGCGGCGAAAAAATAGGACCGCTGGTTGTCCGTGTGCTGTTTCCCCCACAGAAACCCGAGGTTCTTGGGTTGGGTTGGGGGGCGTGCGCCGCAATCGCAAGTGGGAAATTCAAGGAAACACTGTGCTGTATAGGAGTGATGGTTGTGTGGCCTGGGCAGATTTTGGTTTCCAGTTGCAATTTCAGTCGTTGAATTGTGCCGGCTTTTAGGGGTATGGTAAAGTGTCAGCAGAAAGTTAAGCACCTCGAAAACTGGCTCGCAGGTGACGTTATTTTCGAAGTCATTTTGGCGATACACAACCTAATTGGCTCCCCCACCTGTTCTCGGTCATCCATAGGTCGTGACGGAATCCCATGAAAAAACACCAGCCTCCAACTTGGTACGGATCATCAGCACATAGTATTTCCCGACGCAATACAACAGCCTTGGAGAACACTAAAAATCTCGAACAAGATACAAAAATATGAACTTCACCTACTATTCGATTTCAGCCAATGCCTTCTCAATCCTGTCCATGGCTTGTAATAGCACTTCATCCGCTGCTGCATACGATATTCGGATGCACTCAGGAGCTCCAAAGGCCTCTCCTGGAACCAATGCAACCTGGTACATAAGGGAAGTAAGGTTTCAACGAAAGGAGAGGGAAGAAAGTCCATTACATCACATTTTATCATGTGCTGCATCCATGAGTCCAATGAGGGCATGACTGAATGTACGTATGTCAGCATAGAGGAGACCGATATGGGTGTACAGGGCAAGATGTGGCGATAACGCATGTCAGGGAAAGAACGTGCATCACATGTCAATGCGCACAAAGGATGATGTAAAAGGGTATAAGGCCGCTGCTGCATCTGTTGCAGCAGGTGTGACCGAGCCAAACCCCCACCCTGCATGTTCACACTTCACAGCTGGACCCTCACCTACCTGCCCCCTCTTCAGCAAGTATTGAGCCAAACCCCCACGCCCCCCCAATTGCACATCGTGCCCGTGTGAACCCCCGACAGTCGCAGCAGCTGCTACTCTCACCTGCCCCCTCTCTAGCAGGAATCGGGACATCTACACGCTGTCTGTCCAAAATCGGGCCAAACCCCCACACCCCCGACCTTTGAGACGTCTCAAAAGTCGACTAGCAGGAATCGGCACATCTATGTGCTGTCCGTCCATGATCGGGCCAAACCCCCACACCCTGCAATTGCACGTCATGCCCCTGTGTGATGTGAGCCCCTGACAGTCACAGCAGCTACTCTCACCTGCCCCCGCTCCAGCAAATATCGGCACATTGACTCGCTGTCCGTGATTGGTCCAAACCCTGGGCCCGAGCGGCCGTAGAAGGAGGAGACGTCCGGGAAGAGATAGAACGCTCCCTGGTGGTGGTGGTGGTGATGTGGGAGGGGTGGGAGTGGTGGGAGGCGTGGTAAAGGTTGGGAGTGGAGAGTGATGAAGGGAAAGTGACCGTAGAAGGAGGAGACGTCCGGGAAGAGATAGAACGCCCCCTGGGGTTGATGGTGTGGGAGAGGAGGGGGAAGAGGGGAGGGGAGGAGGAGAGGAGGGGAAGAGGGGAAGAGGGATGAAAGGGGAGAGACACGAGGTAAGCAGCAGTAGAAGGAGGAGATGACTGGGAAAAGATAGAAAGCCTCCTGGAATGGTGATGTGGGAGAGTTGGGGCATGGGAGATGTGGGAGAGTTGGGGCATGGGAGATGTGGGAGAGTTGGGACATGGGAGATGTGGGAGAGTTGGGGCATGGGAGATGTGGGAGAGTTGGGACATGGGAGATGTGGGAGAGTTGGGACATGGGAGATGTGGGAGAGTTGGGACATGGGAGATGTGGGAGAGTTGGGACATGGGAGATGTGGGAGAGTTGGGGCATGGGAGATGTGGGAGAGTTGGGACATGGGAGATGTGGGAGAGTTGGGACATGGGAGATGTGGGAGAGTTGGGACATGGGAGATGTGGGAGAGTTGGGACATGGGAGATGTGGGAGAGTTGGGGCATGGGAGATGTGGGAGAGTTGGGACATGGGAGATGTGGGAGAGTTGGGACATGGGAGATGTGGGAGAGTTGGGACATGGGAGATGTGGGAGAGTTGGGACATGGGAGATGTGGGAGAGTTGGGACATGGGAGATGTGGGAGAGTTGGGACATGGGAGATGGGAGATGTGGGAGAGTTGGGGCATGGGAGATGTGGGAGAGTTGGGACATGGGAGATGTGGGAGAGTTGGGACATGGGAGATGTGGGAGAGTTGGGACATGGGAGATGTGGGAGAGTTGGGACATGGGAGATGAAGGAGGAGACGCGAGGCAAGAGGTAGAGAGCCCCCCTAGGTTGACGAGAGGTGAGCAAGGGGTGTATGGGTTGGGAAGGTGAGAGCCTTCCATACCTGGGGCACGGCCAGATTGATTCCAGCAATCTTTTCCAGCCGAGCGGTCAGCATGTCTCTCCTCCACCTGACAGCCTCCACCACCGCTGCTGCCTCTCTGGGCGTTCCCCCATGCATGTTCTTAGATCCCCACACTACTTCCATACCTGGGGCGAGGCCAGATTGATTGCAGCAATCGTCTGCAGGCGAGCTGTCAGCAGGTCTCTCCTTCTCCTGAATGCCTTTTGAGTCGACTCAAAAGTCAAATTGTCTGCAGGCGAGCTGTCAGCAGGTCTCTCCTTCTCCTGAATGCCTTTTGAGTCGACTCAAAAGTCAAATCGTCTGCAGGCGAGCTGTCAGCAGGTCTCTCCTTCTCCTGAATGCCGCCACCATCGCTGCCACTGTGTCTCCCCCACGCGTGTTGAGAACCCTCAGACCGATTACTTCCTCACCTGGGGCACGGCCAGCTTGACTTGACCCCGGCTACCTTCTCCAGCCGAGCATCCAGCATGTCTCACCGCCTCCTGAATGCCGCCACCATGGATTGAAAGTTCTGACAAAGAATCCTCTCAATCGCTCACGTCAGGTTTAGGAAGTCGCCTACCTGTGGAACGGACAGTCGCGGGTAGAGAGACGACTTTTGAGGCGCCTCAAAAAGGTTTAGGAAGTCGCACCTGTGGAACGAACAGTTTCACTGCGGCTATCTTCTCCAGCCGGGTGACCAGCATGTCTCGTCTCGCCGCCCCCTGAATGCCGCCACCATCCTTGCCCAGTGGCGCCCACACGCGCATGTTTTGTACATGTTTCACTGCACTTCCTTACCTGAGGCACTGACAGCTTCATTCCAACAATGTTTCTCCAACGGGGTTCTCCAGCTATTTCTACACACGGGCTCCCTTACCTGTGACTCGCCTCCCTATTGCTGCCCCTGTGGATTGTTTCGTTGGCACATATAATTACTCCCTCACCTGGGGCACGGCGAGCTTGATTCTTGAAACGATTTTTGAGGCGCCTCAAAAGTTGCTGCCACTGTGGATTGTTTCGTTGGTACATATAATTACTCCCTTACCTGGGGCACGGCGAGATTGATTCCAGCAATCTTTTCTAGGCGAGCCGCCAGCATGTCTCTCCGCCTCCTGAAAGCGTCCACCATTGCTGCCACTGCCTCGCCCTCCCCAACCCCCACAGGCAGACAGACAGACATATTGTGAGATGCTTCACATAACTCCCTTACCTGAGGCACTGCCAGTTTAATGCCGGCAATCTTCTCCAGCCTATCCACCAGCATGTCTCTCCGCCTCCTGAAAGCCTCCACCATCGCTGCCACAGTTGCACCTCCGCACAACCCCAGATCAAACGCTGCCATGGCTGCCTTCTGAGCGATGCTGCT